AGAGAGAGAGAGAGAGAGAGAGAGAGAGAGAGAGAGAGAGAGAGAGAGACGGAAGAGAGAGAGAGAATGACAGCTGATCTGCTAACAATCAAAGGTGGCGAGGGCCTTGATCCGGATCCACCCGGTTCTAGAAAGGGTATTCGAAACAAATTGTTTCCTACGGGGCAGCCTCCTTGGCCGGTTCAAGCCGGGCATGGGCCGGTGCCGACGCTGAGGGCAATACTATTGGGGGATAATAATGAAGCACAAATGTTGTCCTACTAAAGAGTGAAAAAAGACAGAAGAAGGCCCTCTCTCCTGCCCTTCATCACCGCAATCAAACTTTCAAATATTTCCCTTCCCTTTTACTTTAATGTTATACTTTTTACTTTACTTTAAAGAGAGGTTTTTAAGCCTTGAAATTGGATGCAAGTTCCTCTTGCATACCACCTTTAGAATTTGTATTTATATGGTGTGAATTCAACCATTTTCTTGTTTTTTAGTCCTTTATACGGTTGGATTTGATAGTGGAAAAGTACTTTTGGAATCTTTGTTTTCAACTTCAACTACCGTTGATCAAGGAGCTAAAGCTAAATCCGATGTGGACAAATATTAAGTCGTCAGCGAACCAAGCTGTACATATGGTCCTGCGGTTGTGGCCCCAACACCTTTGTTGGGTGGGGTTTGTTGGATTTCACAACTCTCTCAAACTTTTTCTCCCTCTACTATCAATATTATTAGATAAATTTATGCTTATGCCCCTAAAATTATCTTATTAAAAAAAGAAAGCATTTTGATACAGCTGTGACTCTATCAAAATAAGTAAAGCCTCACCTCATAACTCATCAAAAAATTGTTGTTATGGTATTGGAAAACTTTCAAATCAATAATTTCCCCCTTAACTATTATGGCTTAAATTTTTTTTAAAACTCTCAAGCCCTAAAAATAGTACATATTGTTGCACGTTATCTAAAGCCCTAAAAATAAGTGTTTACATATCAGCAAGATCTATACCATTTTTTTAGCTTTAAAATTCATACTCAGTATTAGAAATTGATTTTAGAGCCTTCATGAAAAATTTCGATGCTCAAAATGCTTCCAGAGGATGATTCAAAGTGATGCTTTACTTTGCTTTCGCAAAGCCTCAGCCTTATAGAAACTTCTTTCTTAAAAAAATCTTTTTGACATACCTTGCCCCATGTACTGTTCATCATTACTATTCATAAGGGTATTTAAAAAAATTTAGTATCATCTAGGCGTATTTTAGAGTCGTATATATTTACTTGGATCTCAAGTTAATTTTAAGATTTTATAGGCTTATAAAAGAATGGATGTCACATTTTATTATGCTTATGTTATTTGAAATAAATTTTATTTTATGAAAGATGAAAATTCTTCTTCTTTTGACTTGATTTACAGACACTTTTTCTAAATTATTGTTGGCTTTTGCTTGTTTGAGATTCAAAAAAAATGTGAATATAAATTATCCACATTTCGTTCTTGCATCAAGGGGTATCATAGCTCAATTAAAAAATAGTTGGAGATTGTTGTTGTTGGTCGTAACAGTCTTAGCCGTAGAGATGTTGTTCTAATACGATTACGCAAGGAAATCTACAACTTGATGAAGAGGATTATACAGTTGTTTGTTT